CAATCTGGCTTCCATTCCCACCACTCTACTGAAACTGCTATCTCCTAGGTCACCCCTGTTCTCCTAATTGCTGAATTTAATGCCTTTTTTTTTTACATCTTTTATCTTCCATTGCCTTTCTGTGACATCTGCCACCATCTTCTCTTTGTGGATACCTTTTCAGTTTCTGTGACAATGCTTTCTCCTGGTTCTCTTCCTGTCTGCCCAGACTGATTTGCCCAGTTGTACACCTTGTCCTAGAACCCAAGTCTGCCAGCTCTCGGTCTAGTGTTATTCCATTATTTTCCACTAGATCAAACAAGCCATGCGAAGCACTTTGCAAACCTTAAGGTGCCATATAAATACGAGCTGATATTCTTATTTTTTAACCTGCAGACTAGATGAAAGCAAGATGAAGTCACATAAGATTTATGAGACTTGTTAGGAAAGAACCTTGAATGAAAAACTCCATAAATGCTACGAAGAGCTTTGCCAAAAAAAAAAAAAAAAAAAAAAAGGAGGGCACAGGGTATGATAGCATTGCGTAGCTTCCTAGTTAGTATTCCACATAATGGATGGAAGATGCTTTGGATTAAGACAGAAAGGCAGGAATACGAGCAAGAAAAGTGGAAGTTATGTCTGGGACAAACTCTTGCCTCATACAAGTTCACCTAAGATGTGATCACAGTCACACTGGCATCCCGTCATCTACTATTTCCATCAGCTCTTTTTGTAACACCAACAACTATAATGTATTGAGACAACGCTCTGCAGAGATATTTGCTTATTCCCTTCCACTGACTATAACCTGGCTCAGAGGCTTTTTGCCAGTTACCTGGGAAACAGGTAGAAAGACTATGGCTGTGTTACTCTGACTTCTTAAGTCCCACTCTCAGTACATGGAAAATAACAAGAATGCACAGATATAGCATGAAATACTTAAAGAATAAAAGTCAGATTCACTAAAGGGACTGCAACAGGTGATGTGTTTAGCTACTTAGCAGAATTTGTTTTCATCCTGTGTTACTTCATTTCCTCTTTGTTAGCATGTGTGCAACAAAGTGAATTCCATTTTATTTAGTGGGTCTGTGGGCTCAGACCGACTGCTTGACAATGACAGAGGTAATCACATCCCCAAGTGTGTTGCACCCTCATCTCTAGAGGAGAATCATGCAATTGAAGGAACCCTGAAACTACCCAGGCAGCTCTCAATTATGGGCTCACAGAGAACATATCCTAGACTCCCTCCATGACTGGCAATTTAATGATAAACTGTCTTTTACAGTTTTCTTTCTTGTGCTAAATCTTGTCTCCCAGACAACACTGTAAGATTTTTTTTCTTCTCTCCCCGACTGTGTCCCTTATAGTACACAATCAATAACTGTTGTTCAGTAACTATTTGTTGAAAGACATCTTGATTATTCGCCATTTGGCTGGCTCTCTTTTTTACTCTTTCTTTTTTCTCCTCCCTTGTTGACACCAGGGGGACACAGGTGGCACAGCAAATAAAGTGCCAGGCCTGGAGTTGGGACGATTCATCTTCTTGAATTCAAAAACTGGCCTCAGACACTTACTAGCTGTGTCACCCTGGGCAAGTCATTTAACCTTTTTTGCCTCAGTTTCCTCATCTGTAAAATGAGCTGGAAAAGGAAATGGCAAACCACTTCAGTATCTCTGCCAAGAAAACCCCAAATGGGGTCATGAAGACTCTGAAGAATCAGACATGACTGAAAAACGATTGAATAACAAAACAAGTCGACACCAACACACTCTAAGCCAACTTTCATTTCCCTCTGGGAGTCTAATGAATGGAAATCTGAATTACAATAAGCTCTCAATTACTCACTTTGTAAATTACCCATGACCAACTATTCATCCAAGGTTGGTCTCCCCTTGGATGCTGAGAAGTTAACTCCTCCTCCCATAAGTTAGTATGAGCTTGTGACTTCATTGATACGGGAAAATACTGGTGAGGAAACTTTCTCTACAGATCAGCAGCCATTGGGAAACTGGTAGAATGTGTCGGAAAACAGGACCTGAACTCACGTCTTCAGGACTCCAAGGCTGGCTCTTTTCCCACTATACCACATTGCTTCTCTTCTATTTTTTTTCTTTTCTTCTTTTTTCTTTTTTTTTTCTCTTCTATTTTTAAGGGCAACAAATTATTTTTGTTTGCCAAGACAAAACAAAATATGGTTTTCAAAGCCCTTTACTACCTGGCCCCCTCTTACCTTTCTGGTCTTCTTATACTTTACTTCCCTCCATGTCCACTGTGACCCAGTGAGACTGACCTCCTCATTGTTCCTTGAATGAGAAGCTCTATCTCCCAGCTGTGAGTATTTTCGCTGATTGTCCTCCAGATCTGGAATTCTCTGTCTCTGCCTCTTGGCTTTCCTGGTTTTCTTCAAGTCCCAGGTAAAAACCCACCTACTATAAGGAGCCCTCACTGATTCCCCCTTAATGCTAGTGCATTCTCTCTCTGCTAATTATTTCCGATTTGTCCTAAATAAATCTTGTTTGTATAGAGTTATTTACAGGCTACCTCCCACATTAGACTTTGAGCTCCTTGGGAGCAAGGACTGTCTTTTGCTTTGTATCTCCAAGCCTTAGCACAGTGCCTGGCACATAATATTTGTTTAATAAACACTTACTGACTAATAGGAAAGTAAAACTGCTCCAAATATACACATAACCAAATCACTTCACACATACTGCACTGTAAGACCAAAGAAAGGATTATTGGTTTGCCTAATCTCCAGCTCTCCTTTATTATTATATCATGTTATTATAATTAGGTGCTGACTGTAAAATTGTACCTCACTTTATATAGTGACTATGTCCCTAAAAATTAAATGCATACTGAATTTTTGTAAATATATTCATATTTTCTCACTGATTTACATGGAGGTATCAAATGTTGCATCATTATTGGGGATATTCTTTTCCAGTTAACCATCAGTCTAAATTATTCCAGCCCTCTGTCTCTCTTGTTAAGAAAGGTCAGTCTGCAAACCAACAGTTAACATCTCTAGAAGAGATATTATTGGAAAGGGCTCTTCCAGTGAATCTTTTGTGAAGTAGAATCGTTTAGTCATGCAAATCATCTCCCTTAATTTCTCTCCTCTGTAAACTGGGCTTTCTTATGTCAGTTTTTCTTCTTGTATGATCTTATTAGCCGAAATAAAATATAGCTAGGAAGGAAAATTGCTGCACTGGTGAAAGCAAGTTATAGGAAACATTCAAGACCCAAACAAAAATAATGACTGAATTTTTCACATACTCCTTTCCCCTCATTAGTATGGATAACCAAGAGCTATCTGGGTATTTGGCATCTGGGATAATTGATAACTGAAGCTATTTAAGTGACAATGATGATTTAATGTTTGGGGGGGTGTTTCTATTTTTATGTACGGTCAATAGGACTCTATCTTTTCCTCATCCTGAGAATAATAAAACCTTAGCCACCTCCTTCCCAAAGCACTTCAAAAGCTACCTCCATGCTAGACCATTAGGAAGAAGGCAGTGATGGTAGGGTGACTTATGACCAAGGACACTGAGAATACTGTTAGACTTAGTAAAAGCACCCTGGGAGATTTAATGCCCATGCTGAGAGAAAATATGCTTATCACAGACCAGGTCTCTCTTTGATGTGTTATCAAGCTGTTCTGCTGCTCCAAAAATCAGCATTTTTCAAAATGCGTTCAGTGCAGTATTCCAGAGGGCAGAGTTGAAGACAGCATAACAACTTCACGTAAAATGCTTGGATTTGACTGGGCCTAAAGTATTCAACATTTACTTCCTTCCCCCTTCCCCTCAAATTAATGGACAGCAGATGTCAGAAAGTAAACTGTTTGACAACTTTGTACAAAAAACCAAAGCATTTATAAGAAGAAAAGTTATTCTCCACTAGAAAGATAAGTGGTCAGAGGTAATGAACATGTATTTTTTTTCTCATAAAGAAATGTAAACTATCAATGACTATATGAAAGAAAGCTTCAAATCATTAATAATAAAAAATAAAACAATTTTAAAGGTAGAGTTTTCATCTCACACCCACCAGATGGGGAAAGATGACAGAAGATGAAAATGATAAATGTTAGAAGAGCTGGGTGAAGATAAATACTGTTGGTGCAGCTGGGTGGTGGTTCAACAATTCTGGAAAACCATTTAGAATTATACTAAAAAGTCGCTAACATGGGCATATTCTCTGATCCAGCAACACCACTACTAGGCATATATCTCCAAGGAGTTTAAAGAGAATAGGAAGGTCTCATATGTATTATACAAACATACACACACACATCAGTATTTTTTTTTCTAGTAGCAAAGACTGGAACAAAAATGAGACGCCCATCAATGGAGGAATGGATAAAAAAAATTGTGGTGTAAGAATGAAATGGAATATTATTGTGCCATAATAAACTGAAAATATAAAGAATTCAGAGAAACTAGGGAAAGGCTCTTTGAACCGATGGCACATCAAAGTAACATAACCAGGGAAACAGTTAACATAATAACCACAATAACATAATGAAAGCAACATTCATTTCCTCAGAAAAGGAAGGACATTGAAGAAAGCTGTTAAAATGCATAGAAGAGAAGGAAGATCAGTAGGAAATACAGATAGTTAGGACAGCTCTGATAATAACATGTTGAATTTGTTGTGAAAGAGAAGAAGCAAGTTGTATGTGGCACAAATTAATTCACAGCTACTTGTGATTATTCTTTTTTCTGCTTTGCTTTGTGTATGGCAATGCTTGGGCATTATGCAAGTCTTCAGATTCCCTATATTGGATAATAATGACTCAGCAATACAACATTTTGCTAACTCTGAAATCAACCCCACCTGGTAACCATAGCCAAGTCTCCTGCCATTACTTGGTCCTGAAAATGATGAATCTCATTTTCTAGTCTACAAGCAGAGCATTAACACTGATATGATTTGGGGGCTTACGGTTGAGTTAGCTACTTCATCGTGGTTGCTCTACAAGCTGTCTGCTTTAATTAATGTAACCCAATACCTTCGGATGGCCACAGTGAGAGCCTCTGGTGAGCTAGCACAGGGACAAATGACCTCCTGTCGTAAGCCTTTACTTTGGAAGACATTGAGAAATGCATCACAAGAAGAAATAGACCCTGGAGTGGAAAATTCAGAGAAAGAAAAAAAAATCAGACCACTGAAGTAACATGATTTATATATTAAAATATATCATGATATAGGATTTTAAGATGGTGAGACTGAGGTACAAAAGGAATTAGATAAGGAAAAAAATTCCTCCTCTCATAACATTGTACTATGTATTTGACAGTAAGAAATAAAATCTTTTCAAAATTCAACAGTAAAAGGGACCATGACTCATGGACTGAAAAGTAGACTGTTTCCATCTATATCCTCATCATATTTTTTTTTTTTACTGTTTGATATTTTCATTTTTTGTCAAGAAATTGGTCTGGCAATTTTAATAAGCACATTGAAAGGGAGGAGGAGATCTGAACCAAGGCCTCTTCAAAATGAAATGGAGAAAATATTCCTTAAAATGTTTATTGATATAGGTTTTATTACATGAGTTTTATTTACATGAAAAGCATCTTACAGCTTAGTACTTATAGCTTAGTTTTCCTTTGGAATGTTTGAGGCCATCTCATATGTAACTCTCAGACTCTCTGCCTACACACCTCTAAATCTCTCAATGCCTCCTCCTCTCTTTTCCTCATTCCCTCCAATGTGAGAGGAAAAGACAGCCCTCCTTCTTGCTGAAGCTCATGCCTCTCCCTCTCCCCAAAGTGCCATTCTTTTCTGCTCCTCTATGATCCTACCTCAACAATCAGACCTGCTCTCTCATGAATCTTCATTTTCTCCCTGCCAACAAGCTCTTTTTAACATCATCTAAAAAGTTGCTCCATTTTTCTCTACATTTCACACAAACCAACCAAACACAAACCCTTTCTTCAACTCTAAAATTTGACCTAGGCTACTGTCATCTCCCTCCTTAAGTGACCAGCTTCTGGAAAGAACAGAAGTTTGTACTCACAGCTTCCACTTCACCATCAGTCATGCATCCGTGCAATGTGATTTCTGTCTCCACCACTCTAGAAAGAGTTCCTTACAAGGTCACAAATGATCTTATCACTAAAGCCAAAGGCTTTGGTTGTGGTTTTTTTTTTCCTTCCTGATCTCATTCTCATTCTCCTAGCAGCATTTTGCATGGTTGTTTACTTCCTTCTTCCTTATATTATCTCTACCCTTGCACAACATGACAGTCTTGTGGTTTTCCTCCCATTTTTCTGACCATTCCTTCTCTGACTTCTTTTCTGATTTATCAGTCTCTCCCTTCCCTGAAACATGTCGTCCAGGGTTTTATCCTTAGCCATCTTCTCTCTAGATACTGTCTCCCTGGGTGATTATAGTCACTCCGATGTCTTACATTTTTACTTCTATGCAGATGATTTCTGTATCTATATCTCTACCTTTAATCTTTCTCCAGAGCTCCAATTCTACATTTTCATCTGCCTGCTGGATATCCTAGGGACATCTCAAAGTAACATATCTGAAATTCCTCAATGTCCCCATTAAACTTTCACTTCTTTATTTTTGTTGATGTTGATTTTGTTGACCATCATCACCTAGTCAGCTAAAATCATAACCATGAAGTGATCTTTGTCTCTTCCTTCTTCCCCCACCCTTTAATCCAATTAGTTGCCAAGTCTTGTAACTTGTACCTTACAAATACCATATCTTACATTTATGCCCTCTTTCCTACTCCCACTGTGACCATCCTAGTTCAAGTGCTTATCTTATTATCTACACTAGCTTGATAATTTCTAAGTGGTATTGTTGCCTCCAGACTACTCTCCAATCAAACTCTTCCTGCTACCCAAATAATCTTAATATATTCCTTTGATTATATTACCCCTCTACTCAAAAATCCTGAAAAAATCCCTACTGCTTACCTATTAATACATAAACCTCCAAGCCCAGCATTCAAGCCCTCCATAATCTGCTTTTATTCTTCTTGTTCCAGCCTTTTTTTCATACCATTTAAATTCATATACTTTCCATGTCAGCCAAACTGAATTATTCTCCACACGTTTCCCTATTTCTGTGTAGCCCCCTTCTGTCTCTTTGCCTTCTTTGTTCAGAATGGGTTCAGTGTCCATAATGGACTCTTCATCTCTACCACCTCCATCTTCTGAAGCCCTTCCCTTCCTCTAAGGCCCAACTAAGACACTATCACCTCCATTAAGTCATTCCTTAGCTCCATAACTGAAAGTGATCTTTTCTCCCTCAAATTTCTCATAGCAGGTTGCTTAGACATTTTTCTTACCCTCTCCAGTCCCCTTTATGTGATCATTCACAATTAATAACGCCATGCCCTGTGCCTCATTCCATTTAAGAGTCTTGAAAGCATTTGTATCTTGTATAAAAGTAAAAGCATAACACTTTGTTTTAATTTTTATATGTTGTTTCCAAAGCAGAAAAAATTTTGGTTTATTATAGCTTATGTTACAGAGACTAAGTTTGACGCAAGATTTGCTCAAGAAAAAATTAAAAAAAAAACAACTTGCATCCCAAGAAACTTGCAATCAACTTGTCTTGTTAGTATTTGGAAGTTTTGCTTCTTAACCAGATATGGACTAAAAATACAAAACAACACTGAGAGTGGCATTGCCCATAGAATGTGAGGATCTCTACTGGAGGTTTTGTTCCTGAAGGAAGAATTTTGAAGACATTACTTACAGGGGTTTGCTCCATCAGCAACTATCAGCATACGAAGAGAAGAGAGGTTGATATCTCTTTGATCGCGATGTGCGACTAGTGCCCAATGCATGTCCCTGGATTTGACACAAGCCACTTTGGCTGAAAAAAAAATGTTAATGAGAAAGTAGGAAGCTGCCCTGGATCAGGCTACATGTTCCAAGAATAGAAAGGCAAGGAATGGGGCATTATGACTAACTGTATAATAGTAATTATTGACTGCACAGAAATTCTGTGGAAATCAAACTGACGTCTCCTCGTAAAATCTCTGATTGAACTGAGGGTCTCAGGTCCTTACCTTTGTATTGGCAGACCTTCTGTATCCAGGAAAGGGGGTTCACTTTCATTAAGGAATATGGGATACTGATTACATGCATCATATTCATGACACTCTGGAATAAAAATGAAACAAATTCACACGAAATGCACACACGTTGTCTTCAAAACTTTAACAATCAGAGAAGACCCCACCAAATTGGCATGATAAACATGCCAGGACTTTGTAGGAAGAACAACTTAAGCACCTGGTGAGAAATTTACCTTGTAGTGGGTTCCCAAACTACTAGGGCTTACAGCTGGAAGGAACCTTAGAGATCAATTAATTCAATCCCCTTAATTTATAAATGAGGACATTGGGTTCTCTAAAGTGCTGATGGAAATCTCATTCAGGGTTTCTTTCTCTGATCCTGGCTATTACAAGTTTGCAACAATCTTCAACACAAGGGCTTGTAAAGGTCAACAACACAGGTAGTAGAGCCAGAATATGAACCTAGGTCCTTTGACTCTATATTCTGTGCTCTTTGACTCTGCTACACTCAAGTTTTTTGAGCCTCAAGGCGTCCCCAGAGTAAACATCTTGTTGATTCCTCTAGAGGCCCTGAGATCATCCGTGAACATCTTTTTGTTAATCCCTTTGGATACTATTGTAACTGAAAAAGACTGCCAAAAGGTAATCTGGTCTTTTATGCCTCGGGTCTAACTCAAATTCCTCTTGATGACATTTAAGCCCCATTTTTTCCTCCTTTAGGAGAGGAGGTCATCATCCTTTTTATAATATAGCCTTTCACATACTTGAAGCTTGATCTCCTCTACCTTTATCTAATAAGCTCTATTTCTCAACCCCCTAAGCATTCTGGCATTATGCCTTTAATTAAATATAACCTTAAGGAGTGGAGAAGGAGTGGGAGATTTGCTTTAATCATCCAAAGAATTCTTCAGTCTTCCCATATGCTGTGTCAGAGGATGTGTGACCTTACATATAGTGTGAAGGGAAGGAAGAGGAAGAGAAGGAGAGAGGAGAAAAGGAAAGGGAGAGGGAGAGAGAGAGAGAAGAGAGGGGAAGAGAGAGAGAGAGGGAGAGGGAGGGAGGGGGAGGGAGGAAGAGGGAGAGAGAGGGAGAAAGAGGGAGGGGGGGGGGGAGAGAGGGAGGGAGGGAGAGAGTGCGTGATGGCGAACTGAAGTCAATTGTCTACAGCTTTAAGTCACAAAAGCTGGTGCCCAACTTCATTCAGAAGGGGAATTTCTTCATTGGGAATTCTCTATACTAATGAAATCACATGTCAAGTCCAAAAAAGAAATTAAAGACTAAAAGAACAGACTTGTTTTTAAATAGAATATTTAACTGTTTACTATATAGCAGGCTCTCTTACCTACACCAATGGAATTAGAGAACAGATGTGAATAGTATGAAATAGTATATAATTCCCCCCAAATTTATGTTTTACTATGAGATGTTATTTTATTCTTTTTATTTGAATATGCATGAGCCATATTGGGAAAATTCATAGTTTGTAAAATAATAAAGCTGTATTGTGACCATATTATAGAAAACCAACTTAGGAAATAAATTACATGTATAGAGGATATCAAAAAAATCTTAGTGTAGTTTTAAGCTTATTTTGGGATACCCCATATATCTAATAGACATATACATACATGCATATGTATATTTGTGTGTATAAATATGCATGTTTGTGTATATATGTATGTATGAATACATGTGTATAGCTATGTTTAGCTATATCTAGCCATATATATTTATTTATATACAGATAGTGCTTACAATGTGCAAGGCACTGATAACCAACTGGAGAGCTGTCCTATTTCACTATTCAGCTCCCCAGCTTTCTAGCTGAACCCTTCTTTGTTCCCATGCTGAGAATGAGCTTCTGCTTTCAAAGGGATGCAAAGTACTGGCCTAAGGAAGACTATCTTTCCCTCTCCCAGGGGAAAGGTAATTCAGAAGGAATTTCAAAATCCCTTTCCTTCTAGCTCCTGCTATGCTACAGGCTGTCATTCAGTGTGATAATCAACAGAGGCAGTGATGGACTTCACCAAAGGAGATAGAATGTCACAAAGAAGTTAAAACCAAGATTTCCCCCAAATAAATCATAATGTGAACCACAATAACAACAATAACCTTATGATCTTGGCCAAGTCACTTGCCCTTCAGGGCCTCAGTTTCCTCAAATGTTAAATTAAGAGGATTAATGACCTTGCATTTGTAAGGTACTTTAGAGCTCTGATATTTCCTGGTTCATTTATTCATATGGCATTTCTAAGTTCACAAGATCATAGGATCAAAGAATGAGAGTTAGAGGTCATTGGGTACAACCTCCTTATTGTTACAGATGAGGAAACTGAGACTGATAGAGGGTAAGTGACTTGTCTAGGGTCATGGCTAATTAAGTGTCTGAGGCAGTATTTGAATTCAGGGCTTCCTGAATCCAAGCCTAGAATTTTCTCTACTGTGCCACCTAACTGCCTCATTACAAAGCCTTATACCTACTATCTCAATGAATCCTCACAACAACCCTGGGAGATTGTTAATCTATTAATTTCCTCATGTAGATAATGGGCATAATGAAGTTCAGAAAAGATGACCTGTCCAAGGGCCCACAGCAAATCACCTATATACAGGGTGACCCAAATATCAGAGTATCCCTAAGACTTTTGGGACACTCCATATAATGAAGAACTGAATGCAATGTTCATGTAAAACAGTGAGCTATTTTCATTAGTTCTACTAAATCTTATTAATCAATGTTATAGCCAGAGGAGAAATACAGAATGTTAATAAAGAAGTAAGTTAAGGCTGGTTTTGGCACCTGCATAATGCAATAAGATAGTATGATAATATGATATAACAATATGATAACAACCGCTGGCAATTACATAGTGCTTTGAGATTTGCAAAGAATTTTACAAGCATTAATCTTATTTGAGCCTCACAGAAAACCTTGTGTGGTAGATAGTGCAAATATTATCCCCATTTTTCAGAAGAGGAAGCAGAGTTGGAGAGGTTCACTGACTTGCCTATGCATGCGTACACACACACACACACACACACACACACACACACATGCATGCACACACACACAGGTGGTGTCTGTAGTGGGATTCACTCCTGACTCTTAGGTCCGGCACAATCTCTGTTCTGCCTCTCACTATTTGGATCAATTCTGGTTGAATGCCTTGGACAATGAACTTCACCCTATCATTTTATTTATCCTCTACTCTTCATGGAATAATTGTAAAAAATGTTAGGGAGGGGTGCAGAAAAAAGAAGGAAGTGAAAATTCTTACACATGAAACAGGCATGCAATGGTTTCTGGGTGGTTACGCTAAACATGTTTTTAAATGCTACCAGCTAAACAAATAAATAGGCTTATTTCTCTCCCAACATACTTTCATTCTGGAACTCTCATCATCCATCAGTTGACATCCATAATAATAAGATACATATTTCTGTTCAACTCATGCTGAGTTTTCATCAGAAAATGGGGAAATTAAATGCTAGGCATTTTCTTTCCCTTTTCTTCCTCTTCAGCATCATGGAACACTGGATCCTCCAACATTCATAAACACAGAATCTTTTTTTTTTTAAGATGGCATAAGGGAAGAGTCAAGGAAAGTTTATCCCAAACAGATTCATGGGAAAGTAAACTGAATATAAACAAGCAATGGATGACATTATTTCCTGCTCTGAAAAACAGCATGGTGGGGGGCGGGGATGTTCATTTGTTGAACTACAAATGGGTGTAAGAAAGGCTCCCCCCAGCAGCTGTAATCTCAATATGTGGGTCAGTGACTAAAATCTGTTGCCACTGAAACCAGCTTGGTTTTACTGCCTGGTAAGGAGTTGAACTAGCTGACAATGTGGGTCTTATTTTCCTTTAAAAGGCAATAATTATCTTTCTTAAAAATGTGAAGGAAAGTAGGTTATCATGAATCCAACCACAAGCCAACATCCTTCCGGTTCTAAGAACCTCGAGGAGGGACATTTGTAAATATGTACAGCCATGAGGCTGGAGCGGCACAGGGAAAAGAAGGGGCATGCGGGGGGTGGGAGTCATCACATACTCACCGTCAGGATCCCATGCCAGAGGCCAACATCCTTCTTGAAATCTAATACATTCACAATTGTTTCAGCTGTGCAACCAAAATACCAAAAAGACATTACTTGTTACAGCCCAGCACAGAGGCAAAAGCAACTTAAAAGCAAAAGGTAAATATGAGTGACGCACTAATGTTAATTCAGCTTATTTTCACAGAAAATCTGATGCTCCCAAACAGATTCTGAAAAAAAAACAAAACATCCTTTATCCCTTTAGAACCCTTGCTTTCACAGGAGAAGCTAAATCACTAGCAGACTTTGGACTGGTCCAGCTATGAATTAGTGTAGGAGATGAAATGGAAAGATGGGGGCAAGGTAGGGAGTGTTAACGAGGACAACAACAGGGATTTTCTTCCCCCTATTAAATGTTACAGAACAGCAGATTCCCCAAAATTCATAAACACTGAATCATATTTATATAAAAAAAAGGCATGATGGAAAAAATGAGGAAAGTTTATTCAAAAGAGATTCATGGGAAAGTGAACTCTACATAAACAAGCAGTAGATGACATTATTGCCTGGTCTGAGAAACTAACAGCAAGAGAAAAAACAACTAAAAAAAAAACACCCCAAACTTGTCCAATCTTCATCAAAGTACAAATGTATGTGGGTGGGCAGCAGAAATGGTGATTTGAAACTTAGGTGTTATGGCTTCCAGCTATCATTAAAATATAGAGAAGATAAGAGATAGGGCTATTAATAATATTCTGCTTGTGAAATCACAGTGATCAAACGAAAAAACCCCACACTTTTAAGTGCCTGCTATATGCCAGGTACCATCCTAAGTCCTGAGAAGACAAACATCCAAGTGAGACAGTTATTCTCTGCAAGGACCTTACATTCTACTTAAGGATTATAAAGCGTTTACAGATAAGTAAATAGAGAATAAATAGGCAGTGATGGGGGGAGGCACTGACAATTAGAGGAATCAGAAAAGGCCTTTGGAAAGAAGTGGCACATGGGCTTAGCCTTGAAGGGAGCTAGGGATGCCAAGAAGCAGAGAGGCGAGAAGAAGAGCATTCCTGATACAAGGTACTGTCTATACAAAGGTATGGGGGCAGGAGAGGCCATGTCATGTACAAGGAAGAGTTAAGTATGCCAGTTTGGTTGGAGTGCAGGGTGTCCACTTTTCTTCCTTAAGAGACTATTATGTCATCAGATTAGGAAGGGAGCCTATAGGCAGACTAGGAAGGGCTTTAAATGCCAAAAAGAAGAGTTATAATTTATCCTAAAGGAAATGGGGTACCACGAAGACTTCTGGAACAAGTGAGCCATGTGATGAGACTTGTGTATGCCTTAGCAATATCAATTAGGCCTAAGACTGGACGTCATAGCACATACCTAAAGTCCCCGCTTCTGGGGAAGCTGAGACTAGTGGATCACTTGAGCCCAGGAGTTCTTAGCTACCGTGGGTCTAAAGAAAATGTGGTATCGTCACTAAGTCTAGCATGAATACGGTAGGTCTCTGGGACCAGAAGGTCACCAGGCTGTATAAGGAGGGGAGAATCGCCTCAAGTTGTAAAAACAGAGCAGGTCAAATCAGTACTAATCTGTACTGGGATTTGAGCTTCTGGGTAGCCACTGCACTTAGATCCTGGGCTAGACAGGTAATCCCAAGCTCAAGAAAAGAAATGGTAGCTATGTGGATGATATCTTGGAGAAAAAAGACTAAAGACAGGGAGGCCCATTTCCTTTGCAGGAGTCCAGGAGAAAGGTTCATGAGAGCCTGGGCTACTGTGTCTTATGTGAACAGAGAGAAAGGGACAGACGCTAGATGTTATGTTGAAGAGACAGAAGTAACAAGACCTGGCAACTGGTTAAATATAGGTTGTGGGGAGGTGAGAAAAAGGAAGAATTCCCATATGATCCTAAGGTTGAGAACCTGAGTGATGGGACGCATGATGGTGCCCTTGACAAAAGATCTGAAAACATTTTCGCTACTTCCCTATTTGTTCTAGGTGGCCTATGACCGAACTCCGTAGGCATTTACTAAAAAATAATATACCTTGACTTCATACTGTAGTCTGTATTATATATTCTTAGTTATTATGCTTTACAGAACTCTTCCATGGCACCCCTATTTTGCAGATTAACAATCAGAGGAATGTTTATGCATGTTTTTGCAGAGGGATTTTTTCAAACAAATATTTTTCAGCAGATGGATAAAGAAAGAGGAAGGAAGAGAATAGAAGAGAAAGAAGGACAGAAGGGCTACACGAGGAGAATATCACTAAAAATCACCTTGGGGACTCCTGAGAGGTAGAAGTAATATAGAATGTTTGTCTCTGTGAGAGTAATTTTTCCAGTAAAGGATTCTAAGTCATAGATTCTTAAAGTTGGTTTTTTTTTTAGAAATAACTTGGTTTTTTATCCCATAATATCAACATTGTAATGAAAAACAACCCCGAAAGGTTTAAGAACTCTGATTGATGCAATGATTAACCATGACTCCAGAGCACCAAAGATGGTGCCCACTACCAAGTGTCATGCTTATGACAGAGAGGTGGTTTACGCAAGGTGATGAATGAGACATAAATTTTTTGCACATGGGCAACGTGGGAATTTGTTTTGCTTGACTATGTCTATTTGTTACACAGGTTTTGTCTTTCTTCTTTTTTCAATTTGGGTAAGGGGGGAGAAAATGGGAGGGAGTGAAAATTAATGCTTTTTAAATGAAAAGAAATGAAAGTTCAAATTTTTTTTTCTAAAAAAGAAATAATCTGGTTCATTGATTTTGTTTTATAGATTGAGGAAAGTGAAGACGAAATAGGCACATGACTTGCCCAAGTCACCTTGCTATTAAGTGTCAGGAGTGGAGACTAGAACCCAGTGCCTTGATTCCCAATGATGCTTTTCCTCCTTTACCATAATGCTGCCTCCTAGCTGTGTTTATTCTTCCACTTTTCCCATTCACTCTCTGATAGGGACCAATGGATTTGCCCAGGGAAGCCAATTCAGGAATGCAACTACTGAATTCCTGAGATTACATTGGGCAAGAATCCGACACTATCTGATTCTAGCAGAAGTTAACAAATCACTCCCAGGAAACATCAAGAGTCAAGTGGAAGCCATAATCCCAGACCCAGGGAAGTCACATCTTTGCAGGAGATGCTCTTGGGTGCAGGCCTGTACCTTCGGTGTAGCCACACGCCTGGGTGAGGGCTTGACAGTGCGTGAGCAGCGCAATTCTTGTCACAGTCACCCCAAGCACACTTCCATCTTTACAGGTTTTATACTAAAATAGAAAAAAAGGGAAGATTAAAGAACATGCATGGCAGAGTTGTGTTAGGAAACGATAATAACGAGATTTATCTCACAGCTATTTCCAATAGTATGTGCTCCTTGCTCATGGGACTTAAAAACAATCATAAACACACATGATTAAATACCCCAAATATCCATTCAGCCAAGTAGGAATGGATCACATCTTACTTACCTCAATATAAGCAGTGTCGTTATTTGCATCCTTGATGTGTGGGAACCAATCCCGAGGAGGTTTAGAAAGATGCTTAGACTCTGTGACGAACCATAAGAGCTTTGGCCAACCTTGGGAATAAATGACAAACATCTTTATGGTTGGCACTCACCTGAAAGGGAGTACGGCATTTTAAAAAAAAAACAAACCTTGGTGAGGATTTTTCTGTCTGTATGTTGCTCTTCAAAGAATATTTCAAACTACACTAGGCATATTTAATTCAATTTTTAAAAATTCAGTACCTACTACGTACCAAATGGTGCCCCAGGCTCCAGGCATGTAAAGGTAAAAATTAAACAGTCCCATATATACATGTGTGTACATGTATATAGGCAATACGTGTGTATATACATATATACACGCTATATATATATAAACATGTATATTACATACATGTGTATATGTTTGTGATATATGTTTCACATTTACTTATTAGGGTACCTGTTGTTCATATACAATATATCTCTATAAATATGTATGTGTGTGTTACAAATATCAATATATACATACATACACACAGATATACATATATATACACACACAAATACAAAATGACTTCATGAGGGGAAGACAGAAGCACTAAAAATAAAGGGAATGAAGGAAGGTCCTTGAAGGAAGTGAAGCTTGAGCTGGGCCTTGAGGAGACCTTGGGATTCCAAAAGAAAGGGAAAGGTAAGAGAAAGCACATTCTAGCCACGGGGGACAAAATCATGGAGGTAGGAGATGGGATGTCCAGGACAGGGAACAAAAAGTAGGTCAGTTTGGCTAACCTGGAACACCTGAAGGGGAATAATGTGAAAATAGTCTGGAAACACAAGTTGAGGCTAAGCAGTGAAGAGCTTTAAGTGACAAATGGAGGAGTTTGTCATTTATCATATAGACAGATAAAAGCTGATGCTTCTGAAATAGGAAAGCGAGAGGAAGAGATGTGTATTCTGACATGCTCGGTCAATGAGACTTTTTAAATGCTTGGAATATAGAAATTAGATCATTGAACCCCCAAACAGTGACTCAGAAGTGAATATATGACTGCCTTACCTTTAAACTGTGGTATCTCCCCCGTTGGGCTTTTTGGCAGTCCTTTATGGCAGGCATCGCTAGTCAAGGCCACAGTAACTCCACAGCTTCCAAGTAAAAACCCTATCTGTTGACTTCCTGCATCCTGAGAGAAGAGAACAAAGAGGAGACAATAATGTTTAAATGTGCTGTGAAGAACTTACAAGGTCCATGTCCCCTTTGCTATAATTAGTATAAATTACATTCTGAGGCCCCCAAAGCAGAAAACTATACTCTTACGATTGAAACCTACCATTCACGTCATCCTGGCAGAGTTGGATATATATATATATATATATATATATGTGTGTGTATCTATATATAAATATATATATTTAGTTTTTAATCTGTTAACTGGTGAAGTGACTGAGGAGATTTCTGCCATTTCCAATCCCAAAACAGTAAGGCCAAGACAGCACAATACGGGAAAGAGCACTGGACTTGGCATCTGGATATCTGGATTCAAATCTCAGCTGCCATACTTACCATGGGCAGAGCACTTAACACCTCTCAGCCTCAATTTTCTTAGTTGTCACAATAAATAACACTTGTGCTACCTCTGTTAAAGGGTTATTTTGAGAAAAGTGTTTTACACACCTTGGGGCATGACATAAATGGGAACTTTTATTATGCCATATTCTCTTCTTTTCCTGAGGCTATAACTTTCATGTTTCTCATGAAATAACTTTTGCACATTAAATGGTCTCCTGGTGGAAAATATTTTGGTCTAGGATTGATTCTGGCAACCTGTAAATAGGGATGGGCAGACTCCAGAAGCCTGATTTATGAATGCCCCTTACATAAAAATGGTCACCTGAGTCAGGGACGCATTTCTCTAGCTTGCAGGGCCTCAGGAACTGTGTTTCTTTTTTCCATGTCAGTCTTGCTAAGGATGTTCCTTGCAATACTACCAAACCTACCTCCAACATCCCATTTCTAAAGAGAACCCTATCTCACAGCACCTAGAGCCCCAGGAAGCCCTTGCAGATGTAGCCAACTCCATCCAATCTAGTGCCCTTGTGTCCCTACATCCTCTTGATGGACTCTCCTGTCCCCAGGATCCCCTGACACAGGACTTTAAAGGAACAGTGACCAAACTCCCTCATATTCCCTGGAGGCCCATACATGTCTCTTCCCCAGCCCCTGTGGTGGCTGCTGCTGGAGCATCCATCCCCCTGCTCCAGCTAGAGGTCCTCTACTTATGATGACCACCACATCAAAGGAAAGGGAGAATAAAACCCATTTAACTTCCAGCAACCAGAGCACTTGGGGAATGGTGAGAAAGAAGTGAAAGAAGCCCTGCTGATGAGTAGCTGAGAGAGGGTATGGAAAAGGGAGAAAGATTCTCCTCTAAGAAATTGGAGCAAGGGAAATTGTTAATTTAGTCCCCATATTCCCATAGGGAAAAAAGATAAACTACTGTACACTTATCTACCTTTGGCCCCAAGGGAAATATTACTATGAGAAGTGTGTAGAAGTTGCAGAAAAGATACAACTTTAAGGCCTATATCCCGAAAGAGATTTAAAAAAAGGAGGAAAATGACCCAGAGGTAAAAAAAAAATTACTGCAGCTCTTTTTGTAGCGACAAAGAACCAGAAATTAAAGGGCAGGGCATTAAGTGGGAAATGGCTGAAGAAATTATGGCAGATAAATGTTGTGATGGAATACTACTGTGCTACAAGGAATGATAAAGATGATAGCTTCACAATTTGGAACTATGCCCAATGAGCAACCAAATACATACCCTTTGATGCAGCAATAGCACTACTAGGTTTGTGTCCCAAAGACAACATAAAAAAGGGAAAACTACCTTCATGTGCAAAAATATTTATAGTAGCTCTTTTCATGGTGGCAAAATATTGGAAGTTGAGGGGATGCCCATCAACTAAGGAATGACTGAACAAGCTTCACAAACTATTGTGAAATAAGAAATGATGAACAGGCAGATTTCAGAAAAATCTGGAAAGACTTGTACAAACTGATGCAAAGTGAAATGAGCAGAACCAAGAAAACATTGTACATGTTATCAGCAACATCATATGGTGACCAACTATGAATGACTCAGCTCTTCTCAGCAACACAAGTACAAAGGATTCACAAAGAAAAATGCTGTCAATATCCAGATAGAGAACTGATAGACTGAATTCAGATTGAAGCATATTTTTCTTTCATTTACTTTATCTTTTTTGTGTTTTTTTTCCCTTTTGATCTGTTTCTTCTTTCATAACTGTGACTAATATGGAAGTATATTTTACATGACAGCACATGTATAACCTATATGAAATTGCCTACCATTTTTGGAAGAGGGCCGGGGAGAGAGGGAGAAAAATTTAGAACTCAAAATCTTGTAAAAATGAATGCAAAAACTTGTTTTGACATGTAATTGGTAAAAAAATAAAATGCTATTAAAAAAGAAAATGATAGCTTCAGAGAAACCTGGGAAAACTTGGATGAACTGATGCAAAGTGCAGTGCGTAGAGTCAAGAGAACTCTTTATACAAGAGTATCAATATTAGAAAGTCAAACAACTTTAAAAGACATAATTCTAAGGAAAGCAATAACCAACTATAATTTAAGAGGACTAAGGTGATAAACTAAACACACAGAATGAGATACACATTTCTGGACATGGCCAATGTAAGGGCTTGTTTTGCTTGACTAAGCATATTTCTTATAAAGGTTTTGTTTTGTTTTCATTTGGGGTGAGGTGGGACAGAGGGAAAATAAATGCTCCTTTATTGGGGGAAAATCTTTTAACTAAAGAAAATTAAATTTTAAATTAAAGAAATTAAAGAAAAAATCTTTTAAAGAAAAATCTTTTAATTAAAGTTATGGAGATACAAATGGTGGCACATTAAGATTCCAAATTATTAGAGCTGCTCAAATGTAGACTAGATTGCCTTAATGAGTTTCTCATCAACGAGGTCCCGAAGAAGAGGTTGCATGACCAGTCATGAATATTGTAAGGTGTCTTCCTAATCAGGTATAGGTTGGAGGAGATGCTCACTGATGCCAATAGATCAAGACTCAATAAACTATCATTAAGTGCCAACTGTGTGCCAGGTACCACAGTGGCAAAGATAAGAATAAATAGTCCTGCCTTAAGAGAGCTAATATTCTACATATTTCTCCAGGGAGACAAGTCCATATAAACACAATGTGATCTTCTTTTGAGAGGAAGGGCACTAGTAGCTGGGGGAGTTCTAGAACAAAAAGTAGAGGTGAGAGGGAGGCCGTTCATTGAATGTGTTTAGTGCTGGCCACAAAGAAAGGTAAAAGAGAGGAAGGTGCTCTATTTTGTAGGGTGCTCTATTTCTGGATCTCTGAAAAGACAGTGTGAGGCATGGGAAGGAGCAATGGATTTGAAATCACAACCTCCAGTTCCAATCCCAGCTCTGCTGTGGGACACTAGATAAACCATGGAATCTCTCTGCCCTCAATTTCCTCATCTCTAATGGGAGGGGTCTCGACTTTAAGATGTCTAAGATATCTTGGAGAGCTGAATCTATGATTCCCCTCCATTCCCAAGCATACCCAATTCAATACACAGCTGTGTGGATCCTTCATAAGTCATAAATGACACCTGGGGGCCCATCACATTCCAGATCTCCTAACTGGCACAAAATTTTGGAAGATAAGTCCAGTAGTGATTAAATGCAGGTCCTTTGAGAACCGGACTATAAGCCCTTGGGAACACATAGATAGACTAGAATAGTAAATGTGATGTGGAGCCAGGAAGACTTGGGTTCAAATCCAGCTTGGGCAATTGTTAGCCACGTGACCTCAAGCAAATTTCTTTACCTCTCAAAATCTCAATTTTGTCATCTATGAAATGGAGATAATAACAGTACCTGCCTCGTGCAGTTGTTGTGATGATCAAATAAAAGAATATATGTAAAGCTCTTTGCAAATCTTAAAACACTGAATACTATTATTCTTTATTATTATTGTTATTTATATTTAGTATTTATATAGTACCTTAAGATTTGTGAAATGCTGTACATATATGATCTCATATGACTTTCACAACAACCTTGTGAGGTAGGTGCTCCTATTATATCTATTTTATAGGTAAAGAAACCAAGGCAAACAGAATTAAGTGACTGGGCCCAAGGTCACAGAGCTAGTAAGTGTCTGAGGCAGGGTTTGAATTAAAGTCTTCCTGATTCCAATAGCACCTCTTACCTACACAACAATATTATTATTGTTTGCCAAAGGTTCAAAAATTCAGTTCAATAGATAAAAAGAAAGATTTCAGTTCCAGGTATTGTTTTGCTGGCTTTTTTTCCCCTGAGCACTAACTTACTTTCAAGTGAGTAACACTATAATTCATTATACTTTGGGGATAAAATCAGCCTCCTGGAGCAAGAGGAAAATTAAGTTACCAAGTATGTGTAACTCAGCAAAGGTGGAAATGGACACACTTTAGAAGCCATCTACTTTTGCTACATAAAGGAGTTTCTTTTATGGGCATTTACTTGCAAAGAACAGAGAAACACATTATAATCCTATCCATCAGGTCCTTGAAATGACTTAGGGTCATGGATCCTCATAGCTGCAATTGTCAGTACATTTCCTGCCAAGAACAATATCTGTCCTCCAGAAGCAGAACTCGGCCCCTGTGGGTTGGCTCAGGCTTTGCCCAGGAGCACCCTGTGATTCCATCATGCCCTGGCCTAGGAGGCTGACAGTGTTCTACCAAGTCGTTCCTACTGGGCAGATTCCAGAAAGCCAGGATGCTTGCCTGCTGTGTTGACACCAACTCCCTGAGGGAAGGAAAATGCTCCCTAGGGCTCTGTGCATACCTCATCCTCCAACCCTAACTCTTGAACAGAATGATCTACAACACAGGGCCCAATATTCTGACTGGGGCTCTATTTCAGGGGTGGTTTACCCAGAGCCTATATGAGAGCAGGAAGATTTGGAAAAGCCGGCAAAGAACTTGGGGAAAGAGGAGTAAAGGATATAGCCAGGGTGAGCGGGTGGAATAAACTCCCAGGGTGCACACTACCTTGACCTTCAAGGGATTGGCCATGTGCATCCTCCTGAAAGCAAAGACATTGTTGACATATGGGGCTTTCCTCTTTTAGCAGCATATTCAGCTG